CCAACCTACAATGGCTTTTCCTCTAGATTAAAATATAAGACAGTAATAATATGTGTACATAAATAGATAATGAGAATAGAGAATAAAGCAAATGGGGAAAATGTTAACAATTGGTGAGTCTGGATGAAAACCATATGGGCGTTCTTTGTACTATTCTTGTTGCTTTTCTGTAAGTTTAAAATAATTACAAAATGAAAGTTTTAAAAAAATGACAAATACCAACTAATTTAAGATGCCCAGCTATGTGCCAAGACAACAAAATTGGAGTCAAGGTTCCAAATTCACAATTCTGTAAAAGTTATAAACTTCAGCACCATGAGACTTTAGTTTGAGATCTTACTAGTTCTTACTTAGCCCACTGAATATTTTCTATGATGCAATATATTTGTCTGTTACTAAAAATTAACTTTGTTAAGCAAATTATTTAATTTGCTTGCATTACACCTGAAAGGACATGCTTATTAGATGCTAAGTAATAAATGGAACAGTTTGGAAATCTGTTCAACTTATGGAGCACTGCATTTCCAAAATGTGCTGGTGCATTGTTAATGCCTGATAGTTTGAACGTCAGTTTGGTATCTCATCTAAGAAATATCACAGGGTTTGCCAGTTCTGCTTTGTGGGTATTATCTGAGTGGTACAGGCTCAGCGGGATGTACAGCTTCTTTCTAGATAGTTTCCACAAAGTGCTTAAAACCTTGGTTCAAAGCACTCATCTTTGAATGACTCAGTGGCTTCATTTCCTGCAGCATCATTACTTTTTCCTCTGAGGTTTCTCATTCACATACTGGTCTTCGTTGGCTTGTGACTTCACTGTGTCAGTTGATAAGTAGCTTACAAGACCAAAGGGATGCCATTTCCACTAAGGAACTATAAGAAACTTAATGTATGTTCTCTCCTTCTACTTGCCTGTGAAAATCCAGAAATTAATGTTGTGTGATTACCAAATCTAATTAAGCATACCTCACTTCCAGTGTTATGCTATCTGATACTAAAAGAAAAATTTAATGAGTTTCTATGGACCCACTATATTCTAATTGCTTTCTCTCTTGCCTCATAAGATAACTTAAGATAGGTTTACAACATTTTGGATATTCTAGGCCAAAATGCATCTCCAATATGCAAGATATTGTTTTTCACAGTTCTTGCTGTTCTTCAGTTTCTTTCAAAATTTACTTCAAATTGACCTTATGAAATTTTTACTGATCTACTTCTATGATGTCTAAAACCTAAGTCCATATGATTTCAGAGATAATTTAGCTGCTGAGTGCCCAGGGAGTGATAATGTAGTTCCTGATTAAATCTAATAAAAGTAGATAGATGATCTAAGCCCAAGTCACCACTCTTTGCCAATATTAATTACAAAATCTCCAAGCCCCAAATAAGCTCATTTTAATTATTCACTTTTATGTGAAGTTAAAACAAAATGAAAAGTTACAACCATATATGAAAAATTCTTATTTCTTTGGTATCTCTGGCATCTACCATACTTTCTCCTTTTGCCCATGCAGTTCCTTCTGCTCAGAGTAATTTCTCCCTCTACACCTGTTGGAACCCTGGCCATCCTTCAAAGCCTTATTCAAATTTTACTTCCTTTTCGTGGCTGTTTCTTTTTACTCTGGTGCACATTGCTTGTTCCCCTCCTTCGAGTATCTGTTCCTAAAATTGATTAATTCAAGAAAGTTTAGCATATGATTGTTCTCTGTTTCCTGTAAGTCTGTATGTTAGATTTATATGCCTAGTCAGGCTATAAACTTCTTGAAGGTTAAGACTGTGTCTTGTATTACTGCTTTTCAGTATTTTTTTTCCTAACCCCTAAAATGATTTTGAAACACCGTGTACCTCCTCATATATTTTTAAGTTGATATATGAAGTTTTACAGGTGTAAATAACTGCAAAGGATATAATTCAGGCACATTGTAAATATTGATATTAAAGACAAAAGAAAAAGCAAGCAAACTGTTGTTATATCAATCTTTTAAATGTATCTAAAGGAACCTAAATATCATTGTGACTGATACCTGTAGTCATTCATCTGAAAAAAAAAAATACATGAAGTCCTTAACTGTTAGAAATTTTACAATATTCCCTTTTCTCTTTGAAGTCATATTTTTATTCCACATTTCTCACAGAATTTTATTCTAATATAAAATATTTTATGCTTGGAAATCTTCTCTACATCAAATAGGTATAAAATTAAAATTATTTTTCTAAATTTTCTCTGACCAAAGGTTTTAATATTTCTAGATTGACTTATTACGATTATTGTTAGTATGCAGTCAATCAAAACCACATAAATGCATTATAAATTTGTATGAATATTTGTCAAATATAAAGAAAATAATTTTATTAGAAATACATGCTTTTATGAGATACTCAGAACTGCTCATTTACCCACATAGGAATGTGACTGATTGCTAGCTACAAGTAGGGCTCTGCAGAATTCCTGCCTCTGCTTTATTTACATTTGTATAAATATAAATGCTGAGAAAACTTGTTCACCTAAATTATAGGTGGGACAAGAAGGTGCTTTATTATAGCAGTCAATCAGTTCTGTGAATTCCTTCCAAGTAATATGCTGAAAATTATATAGTGATTTATTATAAAAATATATTTTTATCTCATGTTGACTGTTAACTTGATGGAGGCTTTCTTCAGTGTTTCTGAGAGCAAAGAATTCAAAACACCCTTCTTAGAAAAAGACTTTTTAAGCAGTCATAAGGAGTAATTTATCAATTCTGGGAATAATACCAAGATAGTCCTTAATAAAATTTATTAAATAACTATTAATTAAACCTGTTATACTTTAACCCAGTGTACTCAGAAAGTACAAGAAAAATTAAAATATTAATTGCAATATACCTGTCAATACAATTTTTTGAGAAAATGATTTTATTGTATCATATGCTTTAACTATGCTTTCATCAACTCTATAGAACCTCAGATTTGGTTCATCCAATTTTTGGAAAATATTTTTCATATAACCTAGTTGGCAAAGCCAACTCTCATTGTCAAGATAATCAGCCAAATCAGATTTAAAGTTTTTTTCAGAAAATATCTTACTTTATTCAAACAAATGTATAAATAGATGTCCTCATTGTCTTCATACTCCTGAATCCTTTTCTAAGACAGATGCCAAAGGCATGAAGCCTCATCAGGAGTTTGTTGCATTGGTGACATATGGTGCCCCTGCCTCCCATGCTTGCCTGGCTTTGCTCTCAGGGGACCCTTCCTTAGGAATGATGCATTCTTTGATAACAGGTGAAGAATGAAAAACACAAGGACATTAAATGAAACTTGTCATCTGTCCTGCTGCCCCATACTGTATCAGAATACCAAACATGCTGACGTGGACCAAAATACCTTGTTACTTATGCCATGCTTTCCCATTAAAATAAATGTGTGGACAGGACAGAACACGAAAGCTCTCCATCAGTTTTTTTCTGCTTTGATTAGAGGCTTCCTCTATGTTCGTATTTTTAACTATTGTTTGGCGCCTTAGAGGTTCTTATGCTTGGGAAGAGGTATCATAATAAGATGGGTGACGGTATGCCTTTCTTCTGTAAAATGGGAGAAAATCAATTATTAGAGAGAAGGGGGAAAAGAACTAGCTTGATACCTGTGTAGCTGCATTCTCAGGCAGATCAGTTTTTGGAAAGAACATAGGTGGAAGTTGTGGATCTGGAAGTTGATTCCTTGAAAACTGTCTATGCCCACCTAGCCCTTGGGAAGTCTTTACATATCCCCAGTAGTGTGTATATACCAAATTGAAGGTAGTTTTCTTACACTTAACTGTACCCAATGATATGCTGAAATAGAGTTGGTACTACTACTTTCAGGTAAGGCTTTTTAGAGTTGGGAGTAATATATAGTAATTAACATAGGAAGGGAAAGATTAGGACTGTAAAAATAATGTTTAGCAAAAAGATATAAACCAAAATATCAGTTTATTTTCACTGGTTGTATTAGTGCATTCTTGAATTGCTATAAAGAACTCTCTGAGATTGGGTAATTTATAGGTTTAGTTGGTTCATGTTTCCACGGGCTGTACAGGAAGCATGTCTGGGGAAGCCTCAGGAAACTTACAATCATGGTAGAAAGCAAAGGGGAAGCAAGAATGTCCTATATGGCTGGAGCAGGAGGAAGAGAGCGAAGTGGGAGGTTCTACACACTTTCAAACAACCAGATCTCATGAGAACTCACTCTCACAAGAACAAGGGGGAAATCCGTCTTGTGATCCAGTCACCTCCCATGGGGCCCCTCCTCCAGCACTGGGGATTACAAATTGACATGAGGCTTGGGTGGGGACACAAATCCAAACCATATCACTGGTGTATTCTCTTATGTTCAAAACAAAATTTTAAAATTATGCTGAGTTCTTTTATCTAATAATCTATACATTTCTGATTAGTTTCTCTTAGAACACATCAAATTCACACTGCAGTAATAAAGTTCTTTAAAATACTACTTTATTATAGCTCTCATTCCTGCTTTCCTAAAATTTTATTTGAATAGTTTTCACTTTTTCAAACTCTATTTTCTATATTATATTACACCTTATTTTTTAAAAAAGATGACTTGGTAGTATTATAAGAGTTGTTAATGTGGGAAAGGGCTAGAATTTAAATTATTTTTCTAAATTTTCTCTGACCAAAGATTTTAATATTTATTCTAGGTTGACTTATTATAATTATTGTTAGTATGCAGTTAATCAAAACTACATAAGTGCATTATAAATTTGAATATTTGTCAAATATAAAGAAAATAATTTTATTTTCTTAAGAATTTAAGTTGTATTTTTAAAATCAGTCTGAACTTCTCACTTATTACAAAGAGGCATATTAAAGTGATTAACATTCATAGGTTACCATTGGCAGATGGTTTATATTTAGCAGGAAAAAAAAGGTATCTTCAGAAGTGATTAACTTAAAATTGTGAACTAATATAAAAACATAACTGTGTTTTGCCAAAGTAAAATCTTAGCTTTATATTGTTGACAGAAAACGTGTGCAAGGCCGGACTGAAACAAGAGCATTGCCAAGATACTCATTATCCTATAGAAACTATGCTGTCCCAGGAAACACTTCCACTCAAGATTCAGGGTTGGAAATCAACAGAGGTAAAGTCACTGTCATAGTTTCCTATAGCCGCTGTAAGAAATCACTGCAAATTTTGTGCCTTAAAACAAACAAATGTTTGATCTTATGGTTCTGTACGTTAGAAGCCTGACCCACTGGGCTAAAATCAAGGTGTCTGTAGGGCTGTGGTCCTTTCTGGAGGCCCTAGTGGACAGTCTGTGTTTATGTTCTGGGTTTTATTTTTCTTTGTCTTTTGCAGCTTCACGTGTTCCAAGAGAAATTGTGCTTGTCTTTTAACTTTGCTTTTGGTGGCTTTTGTTATACAGGGCTTTAAATATTAATAAGGTCAATTTATCAAAGTTTTCTTTTATGATCTGTGCTTTTAAAAAAAATCTTAAAGAATTCTTTCTTACCCTAATAAAAATCTCTCATTTTTTCTTCCAAGTGTTGAGGTCCTTATGCCCTCTAGAATTGTCCTATTTAGTATAAGAGAGAGTTCTTCTTTGTACCCTTGTAGATAGGCAACATTTAATTTATTGAATAGTCTTTTTCTACTCATTAAAAATAATTCTTGGCTGGATGCGGTGGCTCATGCCTGCAATCCCTGCATTTTGGGAGGCCGAGGTCAAGGGATTGAGACCATCCCAGCCAACATGCTGAAACCCTATCTCTACTAAAAATACAAAAATCAGCTGGGCGTGGTGGCGTGTGCCTGTAGTCCCAGCTACTCAGGAGGCTGAGGCAGGAGGATTGCTTGAACATGGGAGGCGGAGGTTGCAGTGAGCCGAGATACTGTCACTACACTCCAGCCTGGGGACACAGGGAGACTCTGCCTCAAAAAAAAAAAAAATTATTGTGAAATGATTATATACTCACAGGAAGTTGCAAAAATAGTATAGAGTCCTGTGTGCCCTTCTCTCAGTTTGTACTGTTTGCGTCTTATATGGAAATAATGTTGGCGTCTTGTATGGTTGCAGTGCAGCATCAAAACCAGGAAACAGATACTGGTATATTCGTGCCAACTAGACTACAGACCTTATTGAGTGTTCAACTTTTCAATCCACTATTCAGTTTTTTAAACTTGCATTTGTGTTTTTGTGTGTGTGGTTCTATGTAATTTTATCCCATGCATAGATACATGTAAATAGGACCACAGGGAAGATACAGAACTGTTCCATCACCACCAAAGAAGTGCCTTATGCTACCCACCTCACTCCCAGCCCATCCTCTGGCAGTAACTAATCTTTTCTCCATCCCTGCAGTGTTTGTCATTTCTAGAATGTTGTATAAGTGGAATGAGACAGTAGGCAGCCTTCTGAGATGGAATTTTTTAACTCAGTGTAATGTTCCAGGTTGTCAAATGTATCAGTAATGCATTTCTTTTTGTGGCTGAGTAGGTTCTGCTGTCCGGATTGACTGGATTTTGTTCAATCATTCATTTATTGGAGAATATTCAGATGTTTCCATTTTTAGCTCTTATGGATAAAGTTGCTGTGAATATTTGTGTCCACATTTATGATTGACGTTTTCGTATCTTGGGGATAAATGTCAGAGACTTGTAGGGTTGTATGGTAAGTGCGTACCAACTTTTGTAAAAAATGGTCAAGCTATGTTCCAGAGTGGCTGTACCATTTTATATTCCCATGAGCAATGTGTAAGAGATTCACTAGCTCTGCATCCTAACCAACTTTTGGTATTACTGCTATTTTAATTTTAGCTCTTCTAATAGGTCTGTAATGATATCTCATTGTGATTTTAATTTGCATTTTCCAAATGGCTGATTATGTTGAATATCTTTTCATGTGCTTATTTGTGGCATTATAACTTATCTTTGACCTTATTCCTACGTTCACATCTTTTATCCATTTTCTAATTGAATTTTTTTTTAACTATTGAGTTTCTAGTTCTTCATATATTCTGGTTATAAGTTCTTGGTCAGATATGTGATCTGTATGTATTTTCTCTCCGTTTGTGGCTTGCGTTTTCTTTTTAGCAGTATCTTCCACAGAACAAAATCTTAAAATTTCAATGAAGCCGAATTTATCAGTTTTTAAGAATCACACTTTTGCTGTCATATGTAAGAACTCTCTGCCTAAACAAGATCACATAGGTTCTCTCCTAAAAGTGTCATTTACATTTAGCTCTGTGATCTATTTTGAATTAATTTTTGTGTAAGGTGTGAAGTATAGGTCAAGTTTTTTTTTTTTTTTTGCCCAAGTATATCCAATTGTTTCAACACCGTTTGCTGAAAAGACTTAAATTTCACTACAGCACGCTTCAGTGTGGTTTTCTTTTCTTTCGTCTTTCTCACCCATGGGACTTTTCAGTTGGAGGATTCTTCATCTCTATTTAGTCCTGTGAAAGTTATCTCAGATTTTCTTCAAATATTTTCTACTGTTGATTTTCACTTTTTTATTTTTCTTGGACTCTTATCATCTGTATATCAGTCATTCTCTATAGCTCTTCATTTTTATTTATAGTTTCTATTCATTTTCTCATTTTTCTGTGAGTTCCTCAATTTTATCTTCCAGCTTAGTCATTTTTTATCAACTATGTCCATTCAATTTTTAATCTATGTTCTCAATTTCAACTATTCTGTTTTTATGTGTAAGATTTAGTATTTCCGTTTCTTCTTCATATCATGTCTTTCTGTTTCATATTACTTAGATCTTTTTTATTTATTTTGGTATGTTTAGTAAACTTATTTTAAATTTTTGGTCCGTCTTTTCTAATATCTGCGCTTCTGAAGAAATCTGTGACTCAGTTTTTTATTTTTCTTTTGAAATAGTTATGCTCCTCTAATGACTGGTTATCTTCGGAGGTAATGTCTGCTTGTTTTAGGATTGCTGAGGGCTAGAGCTGAGTCTGTGTGTTCCCGATCAGCTTAAGTGGGAGGTGCGGGAAATGGACTCTAAAGTGGAAAGCGTTTCTTCCTTCTGCCCCCCAAAACCAGAACTAATCATTCCTCATCCTCAGTATCCATGCCTCGAGTTAGGTCTTTATCCTTAATACCCCAAGAAGTATTAGCCTTAGGAAGAGACACTTCTTAAATTGCAAACCACATGCCCATTTGGGGGACAGGAAGAGGAAGGATGAAGAAGCATCTTCCCAAGCCTACCCTGGTCCCTACTAGATTTTCTCACCTCCGTGCCCACTCGGCTTCTGCACAGACTGGAAGATACTCCTGAGTACAGCAGTCTGATCACAGTAGCTGTGGAGGCTTGTTCCAGGGCAGCGAATGGAGTGTCATTATACACTTTCTTCCTGTGTTATCCTGTCACTGCAGACTCCCTTCCTTCCGTTCTAGGATAAAGCCAGCACCAACACCCCTACTCACTCTCACACAAATGTCATAGCTCAGAAGAGCTCTGTGTCTCCCCAGGGGCCTTTCAATTTCCTTCTCATTTTGATGTCGTTCCTTTACAGTACCTCCAGGGTTGGTCTTGAGAGAGGAGCCCCCAGAACCAGAAGCAGGACTTGCTGCTCTTTCTGCAGTGTTCTCTGACCTTCTCAGACGTAACACCTACTTAACTCCTGTTTGCACTTCCACATGGTAACTCATATCTCTCATTTTGGCAAATAGCTTTCCAAACATTACTTTTTCTCCATTTTCTTGCAAATTTTTTTTCTGCTTAATTTCCATTTTACATTGGGTTACTCTGTCATTTTCTGTGTCTTTCAACTGCTTTTTAAAACACTGTTCGTCTCATATCTCCATGCTGCATTGTAGTTAATTAATCTTCCAATTCATTTAATCTCCTTTCATAGGTGCCCATTTAGTATTTTTTCTGTCTAGTGAGGTATGTTTGTCTGTGTGTATTTATTTATTTATTTTAGAGACTAGGTCTCACTCTGTTGCCCAGGCTGGAATGCAGCGGAATGATCATAGCTCACTGTAACCTCAAACTCCTGGGTGCAAGTGATCTTCCCACCTCAGCCTCCCAAGTCACTGGGAGTTCATCACTATGCCTGGCTAATTTTTTAAATAATTTGTAGAGACAAGGTCTTGTGTGATATTTCCCAGGCTAGTCTTGAACTCCTGGCCTCAAGCAATCCTGCCTTGGCCTCCCAAAGCACTGGGATTACAGGCATGAGCCACCACACTCTGCCAGGTTTTTATTTCAATAACTCTGCTTTTCACTTAGAGAATCTCTCATTGCTTCTTAATTGTATCCATTTGTACCTATTTCATATCTGCCTGTTTTTATTACTTGATTTTTTTATTACTGTAAATTAAATGTTATCTTTTCCATTATCTATTAAGACTATGTGTACTCAGTTTTAAATAATTTCTAGATTTCTTTATTAGATTGACTTTTTCCAGAGTGATTTGGCTTTCTGTGTTTTAGAATATTGGATTATAAACTCATCTTAAGTAGCTCACGTTTTTGTTTTTGTTTTTGTTTGTTAATCTTTGTGTGTCCTTTCTCCTTCCTGCTTAACAGTTTTTCATTTGCCTCCTCCTGACACCTGGAACTATTCATTCACATTCAGGACCTGCCTGGAAGCTTGGCATTGCTTTCTTAGCTGCTATCAGAGATATTGCAGATCTGGTCCCTAGAAAAAAACATGCTGTATTTTAATTGCTAGAGAAGTTTGTGTCCTCTCACCTATCCAAGTCTAATACTTTTAAAAGCCACAGACCCAGGCTGTGATTGATGACAGGTTATTTCAGCTTCCTTTGTAAGTGGGGATCCTGATGCCCGAGCATCATTTCAAGGAGGGAGCCCATATTCAGCACTCCTATCTTGAATTGACACTCTAGCCTTCAAGAATTGAGCTCCTGATTTTCTGTACCATTTTCTGTACCCAGAGCACCAAAGGTCCACAGTGTCAACCTCTCCTTACCATTATTTGTTTCTGTTCTATGAAGATGTTAATCTTGATTTTGAGCATGACTATATCTTTTTAATTTTCACATTTGCATTTTCTGTCTCATGGCTCTGTTTGGAGAAGGGAGGTATCCCCAAAGTATGAACATACAGAACCATCTTGGCTAGAAATCTGTTTCACTCATTACTGTGAAATTATCTCATTAATT